ACACGTCATGTTCACATCAAAGCACAGAAGTGCTTCATTACTAGAATGTTCTGTGACATAACTCCACCCCCCACCCCCACCCCAACAAAAAAAATCAAATGAACTGACCTTGGAAGTGAGAAAGTAGCACCTCTGGATTCAATTCTGAACTCTCAGTCCAGGGTAGAATAAACGGTTCCTGTAATTTATATATTATATTATGAGATTTCATTTCCCTGTACAGTTCACAGTGATGTGATAATATAAGGTCATCACAATAATACCACAAACTATTCACAAAGGGAATACGACAATCGTATTAACACACAGACAATACAATCTCGTACCTGTCTGTACAAAAGTTGGCATTCAGGGACAAGATTTTGGCACACACTATAAGTATGGAGTGCGTCAGTGTTAGTGACGTATATAATCCAAAACAAGAGACAAATTCAAATGAACAATTGCACATATGATTTAGTAAAATTACAAGAGCAGCGTTTTACAGAACAGAAAATTGTTATAGTACCTGATGCTAAATGTACAATTGCTTTATTAACAATTTACAGTTTATTTAACCAGATTTCTGTCTACCTATTACAATGTTAGTAGACATGAGAAACAGTTATCACTATACCTTGTTAACTATTTTTCCAGGATTATTATTGACAGGATCATAGAGACTTGGTGGTAATGTATGAAATTGAGTGAGATAAATAAACGAGAGCCAGGCCAGGCATCTATCACTGCCCGTTAAATACTTTGCTATATAGTGCGAATGGCTGGATGTGCTGGAAACTTTCTCCGATAAAGCACCCTGTGGAATAATAACAAATTGATGAGTCTGTGAAACAACTGGTTAGTGATTATCATTTTTTCCTCTCACATTTTTGCACTTAATTTTGAAGGTTTTGCCTCCTTGAATCAAGTGATCACTTTGTGCATTTCTGTTTCTGTATTTCTGTTTTAATAGTTACCAACGAGTGTCCATTGTGTTCTGGGATTTTTTTAGTCAGAAAGAGTTTGAACAACCTGTGCGATACTTAGTTTATCATGCATCATGAGATTTTGCTTGTCATAATGTTTCACAATGGCGATAAAAATAAACTCTGCAAACATACAGCAAAGTAGATTCATGGTAACGTTGACAAGGCTGTACACTTACATTAAAAATATTCAATGCAATATTATATCTTCTAGACTGGACGTGTAAATGTACTCTGTATAACAAAACTTCTAATATTTGGTGTGACTGTAAATGGCAAGACAACTCCTCTTGTTGTTTAACTAAGAAATCCAGTATTTTTTTACAGAGACTATCTTTTCCACTGAAGGTTTTTTCTAACTGTAAACACTGAAATAAAACAACAAAACATTAAGTCAACTACATGTTATACAAGCTTCCTCTTTTAGGTCATCAATCCAACAAAATCTGTTAGTGCTTCTTTTGTCATAACATGACTGTGGTAATTTTTGTGTGAACTGAAATGCATGTTTGCAACATCAGAATGAAAAATGTAATACCATCAGCTAAAGGGCTGATAACACAGTTGTTCTGCAAACAATGATGCCTTTAAATCTGATAACTATCTAATGGCTTCCTGAAATAACATTGCTTGCATTGCAGCTGTATTATCGGCCAATTAGCTGACGATATTGCTGGTTAGGTGTACGCAAGAAATTCGCAGCCACAAAAAAAATCATGATGACAATCTTACACAATTCAAGTTAAATGGTTTTAAAGCAACAAAGGTATTGCATTTCAGCGTATTCAACATGGGTCCTAAGCGATGGATACAACTCATGCAAAATACATTTGGTTGTTTTACACAAACATGTGCTGCACCAAATTCTATGACCCTGTTGATTAAATTAACTAGCATTGTGACGTTACAAATTTAACTGCAAAAATGGCATTTATGTTCCGTATTGTGCAAATTCTGTTGTCTTACCTTCCACCATAAATCATAATGTGGTGCAAACTGGACAGCTTCCTGACACATCTCTCTCAGTTCCTCCGACTTAACTCGCTTGGAATACAATGTTAGATAGTGCTGCCATAGTTCTACACTGCTTCCATTACTTTCAAGACTTCTTGACAACACATTCAGAGCTCTATCTAAACACTCTACAGAGCTGATGGTTGAACAAATTTTTAACATTTCAAAACTGGGATGTATACATAAAAGTATGAATTAGTGCATAAAACATCATTACCTGAACCACAAGGCAAAAGTATAGTCTATAGTTTTTGCTATAGGGTTGCCACAAGAATTTTTTTTATTATATAATATCCATGCAACATGATCATAGCATAACGCATGATCATTGTTAACGACGCAATCAGGTATCAAGAAAAATACTGAAAAACTACAGATATAGAAAACATAATCATTTCTCCATTCAACAGATGTTTTAGAACAGGAAATGTGACCCAACTTCAAGAAACAAACACACTGGGCTTAAGGTAGAGATGCACTTTATTTGTGAATTTCAATCAAAAATAGTTTTTTTCGTTTTTTATATAGATTTTTATCTAAAGAACATTCTGTGAAAATTTGACCAATGAATTCTTATTGGAACACCGTTAAAAATGCTGTTTATTTTCTGGTTAAAAATAAAAAACACTCACACGTGGCAATGTTTATGTCCAATTGCCTAATTTGCATGAGTAACCAAATAACAAGACCTTTGATTGACAATATGCAAATCGAGATTGTACGGGTCATAGTTCATTCAATTCACACGCATGTGCAATTATTCTCAAATCAGTTCTCGCTCGCTAGCAAACCAAACATTATATTTCCTCAGCGTTTTTTCTTAATTTTTATCATTACATTATGCGTGGTGTGAAAAGAAAGAGAGGTAGAAAGAAGATTCAGATGATTTCTATGTCGGAAGATGCAAAAGCTACACGAAGGCATCAGCCCACCGAACGAAAAACAAATCGATGTGAGCGTCCAAACATGACTTTCCCTGAAGGCATGAATCCGAGTTT